TACTATAATTGTAGCGTAGTTTTGTGCTATGTTGTTTCGTATAGGTTAGCAAACCTTTAAACAAACTACAAACTTAGACACACTACCTAAATTTTATCATAACGTACCATTTTGGTGTAAAAAAATCTTAGAATTATCTAAAAACCTATTTTTATATCTAATTATAAAATTTTAAACTCCAAAAATGGTTAAAATCAAATTAGCTCTATACATATATAAAAATCTTGAAAATAAATGGTCTAATTTATGTGTTGCAAGATGCACTATTTCTAAGATTCAATCTTTTTTTAATATCTCGATGTCGAGATGATCAACTAGAGAGCTTTTCAACATTAAAACAACCTTTTCCAATTGAGTTTTGAGGTGCATTTGTGATTCTACATTTTAAGGTTGCAACTTTATATAAATTTTTTCTCCCCTCTCTCTCTATATATATATATATTGCATTTCACCGAGCAAAGGAGAACCCAAAAAGAGCCCACAAGACCTTGATCTATTGGCAATGCTTTGAGGAGCAGTCAAGGTGAATCATATTGGGCTACATTTAATGTACTAAACAACAGTGGAAAGTAAGAATTGCCAATGGCTTATGAAGAATTTTGATCCTCTCCACCAAAAGGATCCGACTGCTTCAGAAGCATTGATGTTTCTTCTTTGTTGGGGGTCATTTTAGCTTTGATAATTATTGAATGCTATAAGTCAGTGATGAATTCTTTGCAGTGACTTTGTGATTCGTCCTGCGGAAAAATTTTGAAACGAAATATTTTATTTTGCCAAACATAAAGTGAATGTCTTCCACATTTAATTTAATGAGAAATGTTCTCAATCAACAAAAAAAATGAACACAACCTTCAAATTTAGGCTTGGAGCAAACCTAAAGCAAGGAACACAATCTTCAAATTTAGGCTTGGAGAAATCCTAATGCTCCCCATTCTCACCAAAGTGAGCGAAATCCAATATTGCTCATGAAAAATTTGAAGAAAATAGTGTCCTAGCATTAACCTTCAGCAGAACCATGTTTCATTCAGCGTTAACCCAAATTATTTCAGATGAAAATGGAAAAAAAAAAACCAAAATACAGGTCGACTGCTATCCCTTCCCAAGACTATCCTAGAACTCAAAACTTCTGTCTTTTAGCTACTACCTTTAAGATAGTGATAAAAATGAGAGAGAGTGAGATAGAGACTGCGGCACCACACTATATAATCAAAATACTTATTTGGCATCTATGTAATTATAAATGCACTGGAACCCATTATAAATCCAAAGTGAAGCAGGCCTGTTCTATAAAAGTATTAGGAGGGGGTGATGTCCTAGGAAAACCACTAAATAGAAACCAAAACAATCAACAAATTTTTTTACAAATACATACAAATATAAACTGAAATTAGAGACAAATCCAGCTTAAGTGATCACTACAGCTACTCTAAAATGGATTTTTTTTTTTGGTAGTTTTAAAATGGAATTCTTCAATCTCAGGACTTTAAGGCAGCAAATATTTTTGGATTAGTTTTTCAAACAACCTATACATGAAGAGGAATGAACCAATAACAAACTCTCTCACCAAGAGGTATATGCCAACCCAAAGAGTCCCACTTGACATCTGGGGACTTGGACTTTTTACCAAAATGGTAATGCCTTGTAGAATTACAAACCAATATCACGGTTCCGGAAAGAATTACAATAGCAGCACCAGTCTTTGGAAAGCATAAAACTGCCCTAGCCCTGAGAAACAAGAGTGACTCCACATTTCTGCCCTCTCTTTCTCTCTCTCGTCTCAGAGAAGGAAAGAGTTGTGTTGCTCTTGTGAATAAAGAGACTGCACCGCCCCAACCCACAAAACACACACACACATAGCAAAAGAGAGAGAGAGAGAGAGAGAGAGAAAGAAAGAGAGAGAGAGAGAGAGAGAGAGAAGAGAGAGAGAGAGAGAGAGAGAGAGAGTACGAAGTAAGTAGTAACGTAACTACGTACGTAACTAACGTTAACGTAACGTAAACGTAAGTAAAGTAAGTAAGTAAGTACGTTACGT